TTATGTTACAAACCATTTTAGCTTTTAATGAATGAGGTACGTCAGCGCTGCAGGGCAACGTGGAATTATTACGATTTTGAGTTTTATTTTATTGACGAAGTAATGCACGCTAGGTGAGTGCGGTTCGAATCAACTGCAGAATCTCACATGTAAGAGAGTAGAAAGAGGATTCGAGAAAATGACAAAGAATTTGAATGAGTTTTGCGGCATGATCGACTTTTCTGCTCTTCTCTGTTCTTCACCTTTGAGTAAAATGCCTACACATGTTTTCGTTTTTGGTAAAATCTTCTGTCACCCCTCGTAGTATCACATCGTTCTTTACGACATCGTGCCACCTTTTCTTTGATAACTCCGTTTTTTTCCATAAGAGCATTTTCAATGTATTCATCTGAATTTCTTGTCACATGGCTGTATCTTGCTCTGGTGCAGCGATCAGAACACAACATAGCCTGGGGAGAGGGGCAGCTTTTAGCCGCATACATTTCTGTTAAAAGTATTTCATATTACTCAGCATAGTCAATACTGTGAATCGGAGATGAGGACTAATGTTTATTACTTCTTGAAGCTGTTGAAGACATTCTGAGATCAGCTTAAAGAACCATCGATAGAAAACTCAAAATGTTAAAAGTAATTGTCGAAAAATAAAAACTTAATTAGTATTGACGAATTTATTTTTCAACTTACATTTATTCGATTTACCTCATTGAATAACGAAGCCAAAGGCACAGAGAAGCCCACGTTGAGGTCAGAATGTCCGGATGCGACGTTCTGTTTGATAAATACTCTAGAGCCGAAGAGCAGTTTTTCAAAGTGAGTTCACTCTCGAAGTAAAGCGAGCTGCAAAAACCTAATCGTGGCGCTTTTCTCAGGCATTTATTTACAACTGTTGATTACAGCGATGTTGACACACAACAGGGAGTTAAAACTAAATTAATATTCACTTAATATACATCGTGGACAAACATCAGGCATACTATATTTAGGAAGTACGATAGTGATGGTAGACAGTGACGAGCTAGAGAACGATTGCTTCAGTGCTCATCTAATGATTATAATAAACTATTTCATAACGCAAAATTCATGCTGTATGAAACGTACCTGGACACAGCGTCTTACACTCTTGTTCGGTAAGGAAATTGTTGGTGTTGCCTCCAGCTCCAGAATATGAAAACAGGGAACAGCGTCGCGTTGGAAAGTCGAAGTACCATCTGGCTAGTTGCAGTTGTCCGTGTCCCTTTTCTTTAGGCATAATGCAAGGATTTTCATCTCCAGGACAGCAGACGGATATTTCCGCCAAATCTCCAAAATGGCACCAAAACGTTTTGGGACAAACGCTCTTCGTACTCGAAGTGCACAGAATGAGTAAACCATCATCGCCCAATGCTGGTTCACCCAGTGCACACGGATTTTGAAACACTTAAAATATGTGCATGCAAAATTGAATAGGAATTAAAATATAAATAATAAATGACAGTGAATAATGAGTTT